CTAAACCCAAAAAAACCGAGTTGATGTCTTCTCCAGAGTCTCCTGATTGGAGAGGACGAGATATTTATAACCGGGCAAAGCCGAAACAAATTAATTAAAAAAATTGAAACATTAATGGTTTTGACATCAATTTGAAGAAAAAGAGTTACTCAAAATATCGGAAAAGTTGAAAAAAATTGATTTTGCAATTATTGTGCAGTCAAAAGCTGGCTCTAAAATCCTGGAAAGTTCAAGTTTTATATCGGGTTTAGCTGAATTTTGGCAACATTTCAAATCTGTGTCTCAAACATTTGGCTTTGCTAAAAGTTGTCTATGTTTTCACAAATTAATTGCAAAGAAACTGTTTGATATAAAGAGTTGATTTTCACATGAGCTTTAAGGCAAAAGCTTCAGTAAAAAACAGGGAAGTTGAGGTTTTATTTCGAGTTTGGGTGAATTTTGGCAACATTTCAAATAACTGTTCAAGCTACACTGTTGACTTTGGCAAACTTTCGAAGAGAAAACCTGGCTCTAAAACTGTAGAAAGTTGCACTTTGATTTGGGAATATTTAGACAATATTTTGAACATCAGCTTCAAACGGTCGCATGCCACTTCAAGGATTCTAACTACTCGATGCAGAAAATTTAACTACACAAAAATCAACTGACTCAAAACGCTAATTTTGATACCGTTTTACAGAGAAAAACTTGCGCAACAGCTAGGGAAAGTCGCATTTAAATCCCAAAATTGCATAACTCTGTTTTGGAAAAACCATTACTTGAAAACGTCTTAAGGCCCAAAAAAAATTCACGAAGTAAAAGCCGGAAAACTCACCAGTTTCTGGGCGATCGGCGGCAAAGAAGAAGCCATTGTAACCTTATCGACTCACTTCGATCAAACCACATAAATACGCTGTTTCTGGGATCTTATCGCCGATCTAATACAGCATTTATTAATCTGATGACCTTTTCAAGAGTGCCTCGGACGGGAGCTCGTTAATTCATGTTTTCGTGTAATTTGAACAAGATCCGAACAACTGGTTCAGCCCGATGTAAAGGCCAAGACAAGAAAAAGTGAAAACGAAATATTAACGAAAAACTGGAATTATTTGCATGCAAAAAGCCGGTCGGTGTTAATTAGTGGACGCGTGACTGGGAAATAGTCTTCATTAAAAATTTACTGCCGGTTGCAATTGCCTTTGGAAAAATTCAATTAATTCCGGCGCTACCGGCAGAGTTTGGGTTTTTTTGAGGGGCTAAAAGCCCTAAATCCCTCTAGTTTAACGACGGTTTGGCTCATTAAATTTAGCGCATGCAGCCATCAACACCGCTTAAGAACTACATCTTATTAAGGCCGAGCGGATCCGCTCTGGGAGCTTCTGGGCAGTAATCAAGCACCTTCACGTCACGAAACAAACTCTTTACTTAAACATTATAATCATAATAATCATTACATACATAGGCAATGTCCTGCCAGAGAACAACTACCCAAACTAACACTTAGTCGACGACTTTTTGCAAATACTCATCGAACAAATAGAGTCCCAAGGAGACATCTGGAGTGTCCATGATCTGGCTCAGGTCCTTGGTGTATCCAGCCAGATCCCTGATGATGTTCCTCTGCTTGGACATAAACTTCTCCTCCAGATGATGCGCCACTTCCGGATCGTGATGATCAGTCTTATGTCCAGAGGCAGCCTTATGGATATCAAAGGCTTTCTCAGCCAGCTTCTTTTCGATATCCAGAGCTTTTCCCAACGAGTGAAGCTCGTACAGCTCCAAAGTGGCTGCATCGTTGCTCACATCGTTTACTGTGTCAATGTTGCTGAAGCTCATTTCTCCTCCACGCGATGTTATGTACTTGATGGAGTTGATGGTGTCCTCCCACAGGCCATCCGAAAGGCCTCTGAACAGTTTCTCGAATCCGGGCCGATTCTTCAGGTAGTTTCCATAGTGGGTGGACAGAATGAGAAAATCGAACGATTTGTACAAAAGACTGTTGGTGAATCGCTGCAGTTCGCCTTCAACGGCATCGATCGCTCCATATTTCGAGTCACAAGTACTCAATAATCCCTCTGCAAACAAGAGGCCAGTGTTTTACAAGGAAAGTTACGCAGGAAATTCCGCTGTTTTTGTTCGTTCGCTTTCAAACAATATCACTCAATAGACAGTCTATTTTAGTGCTGCAGATAACGATAATCGCTTAAATGTTATGCACATAGATGACTTCCAACGCATAAAATGGGAATTAATTGGTCGGTTTGATTGATAACGTTTGATGGATTCATGTGGAAATTAACTATTTACTGTAGTTGCAGTCAAAAAGTTGCAATGAAAAATTAATCAAACGATATGGAATTTGAAGGCGAAAACTTCCCCTGTCCAACGCCGAAATTCCCAACTTTCTAGCTGCACTACTTTGGGAGATATTAATCGTTGAAAAAGACCTTGCGCGATTTCATGATAAACGTCACTAATTACCGCTTTGAACGAAAAATGCATTGTTTATGAAATGTTTGAGCGGTTTAGGATATGTTGACTTTGATGATAAACGATGACAAAATTCGACCAGTTTGAAAGAAATTGCCTCATAGAAAACCAGCAAGATTAATTGCAGAAAGTGAAGTTTGAAGTAAAGCCTCGAGAAGCCATTTTCGTTGCTCCGCTTAGAAGCTTAATGATGAAATCCAACGGGACTGAAGAAACTTTGCACTTTCCAATCTAAAGTCCACCAAGGTTTTGTATTTTAGACGCGACCAACCCAGAAAAAAACGCTTCAATCGTCTCGCAAACGTTTGCTCATGATAAACGTCCATTAAATTTGAATTTATGTTTTTTCTTTTCTAGAAGCTTATTTATAGAGAAGTTTGATAAATCCGACTGATAAACAGCGTTAAACTTTTGTCAGTTCTGATTAACGTTAAGGAGCTTGCACGTTTTTACCTAGAAGAAACTCATCAAAGTTTCAAAAAGTTTACAGCGAAAACACTGAAAAGCCAATTCATGAGTAACGTTGAATTTTTAAAAATGTTGCTCATGTTAAACGTGCATGACATTTTTTCTGGAAAAACTTGGTAAAACTTTCGTCCATCGAATAAACTATAGAAAATCCGATCATTGCAGAATTTTTTGTCGAAATGTGCTTGTCATGTTTTTAAAATGGCGGCTTTCGATAAACGTAAACGTCAAAATTTGGCATTTCCGCAGGCAGTTTGCTATTAGATCACGTTTGCAGATGAAAACATGTCCCTTTGAATGCAAACGTTACAACTTTCTAGTTTGTTTCAGTGTCAAAAACGTCGATTGATTGAAAAACGTTGAAGTTTTCTAAACGTTACTTGTGATAAACATAGATGAAACTGGCCAATTTGCTTAAAAACCAAATTTTTGACCATCAAATGTGAGAACTTCAAATTTACGAGAAATTTGCAGTTTATGGTTGAAAAATTACTAGCAAGTTTTGAAACGTTGGCTCTTGATAAACGTCACAGTAAAGTGGATTCCTAGTCAAAAACTCTGATGATGCAGAGTGAGAATGATAAATTGAGCGCAAAAATTGTTTTTGGTACTTTGAAAACTCTTGATCAAAGTTAATAAAATCAGCAATTTATGAAGGGAAAACTCCTAAAGCTTATCGAAGATACTTTGGCTCATGGAAAGGAAAAACTTCAAACGTCCGACTTCATTTCGTCCTTGTAAAAGTCAGCTAAATTTCGATTTTTCCGATGCCAGGGTTTGACAGGAAAATCCCAATTTTACGGACGTTTATCAAAAACAGAATCAACTCGAAACACTGAAGTTTTTTTGCTCCATTCACGTTGATGAAGATCGTTAAGTTCAAAATGGTGCAAAGCAAAAAAACTTTAGTGTTTTGAGATCATTTTGCTTTTGATAACTGTCCGTAAAATTGCGATTTTTCTGTGAAACCCTGACCATGAAAAACATGTCTACAGAGGAAACGTTTTGTTTTAAATCAACTCTTGAAAGATCGTTTGTAACATTTTGAACATAACGATCTTGATAAACGTGAATGAGTTTTGTCAATTTTTCTCAGGAACCTGAAGAAGGGTTATGGGCGAAATTTTGAAGTCCTACAGAGAAAACTTTGGCCCATCGGATGGAAAAACTTTAACGTTCTTAATTCTTGGAGTTTTTCAGATACTCATGGCTTTTCGGGACGTTTCGATTTCAGGATTAATGGAAAAAATGCGTTTTGTTAAATTCGGACTAATTAGCAACGTTTTTTTCCTAGTTCCGGTAGCGATCAACTGTTGAGTTTTGTTGGAAACGTTGCTATTGCTAAACGTTAGTGACTCACAGAATTTCAATTGTTTCCTTTGACAAACTGAAACTTTGTGGGCTTACGGAACAATCATTTTTTGTCAACGTTGGTTCAGAAAGTCTGAGGACGGGCAGGTTTACTGACAAAACTGGGTTGTAGATTACGGAAAAATTGACATTGAATTGTTGTGGCAACAGAGATTGACTTGGTTGACAGCGACAACTGTCAAGTTAGATCTAAAGTCACTTATTGACCATGTTCTAGCAAATAAAGTGAGCAACAACAGGACAAATTAAAAGCAAACTGTTTAAAACAAAGAGAAACGGCCTGAAAGATGACAAAGCTATTTCTAGGTTAAGCACTTGGGAAAATGGCGCCGTTGTTGATCAGCTGATGCGACGCGACTTGACACAACATGAACGCCTTTGAACAATCTAGACGGCACATTTTTCCACAACAAGTTCAAACCTGTTTTGACTATACTCACGTTGTTTGGACAGGGTGTTTCCATTTCTGCAGGCGGACAGAACGTCCTTGTAGCACTCATTGGCCGAGACGGCGGCCACAACAGCAGCGAAAATCAGAAAAGCCTTCATGATCCCTAAAAATCAAAAAAAGCAGGCGCTTATAACCTCAATGTCTTCAGCAGTAATGGACGGGGCGCAGGCCGAATGGCAAATGAACTCTTTGTGCTGAGGATTAGTTGATAAGGATAAAGGGGCCAATAGGGGACGTACCTGGTATCTTGCCAGCGAAATCACTATCGACTAAAACTCTAAACGTTAATTGTTCAAGGCGCAAACTTTTATTTCGTTTCGAACAGTTTGCACACGAAGATCATTGGAAAACACTTGTGTTTCTTACTACGCATACATTTCGCTGTTCTGGACTTTGAATTTACGGTGTTGTCAAGTTTGGGATTTTTAAACTTTTTTGGGATTCCGCAATTTTTCCTGGAGTTTTTGGCTTTGGAGTTAAAGGTAGGCAAGAGAATGGTCTAAATGATCCGGGGGTTGTTGAGGTTTTCCAAGTTTCACCGCCTCTAGGTGTGCCTTTGCGCACTTGGGAGGCCTTATGTGGGGCTTAATTGGCAAAAAATCCCGGAATTGAGGGTCGGAGACGTAAAATTGCCAAAATTTCCATCAGGAAAAGCCCTAATAAACCAAACTAGCTGGCAACAGAGCCCCGAAACAACGAAGCAAACAAAGAGCAAAAGCCCGACGCGGTTCGTGCGCAGTATGACTGTATCGCACTAATGTATATTTCCAGTGAGGTTAAGATAATGAGAAATTTCGTGTCGTGTGCATCAACAACACCCCAAATAGATTAAAAATCCACCGATAATCGTCTAGTTCGAATAGTCATCCTTCTGCACCAGTGCGTGTAAAGGCAGGCTGAAGAAAACGTGTCCAATCGTGACTAAGCGAAAAACTTTGTTCCCAGTTAACGTACAAACATCCGAAAAAATGAGGGCTTTCATCGTTAGTGCCACTCTGCTCTTCATCGTCGCCTGCGTCCAGGCAGAACTCCAATGTAAGTATATTAAAACAAAGAAAAGTAACTCGAAAAAAGTTCATAGTTGACGCCATGTTGTTTTCGTCCGCCATCTGATCGATTGTGCATTGTCATGACCTTTGGTTCGGGCCAAAAAGCCTTGGAAAAGCCACTTGATTGGTTAACAATGTGTTTTGACTGCGCAAGGCCACAGCTGGGGTCAGTTTAGCTCAGGGGTTATCGAAAATCGATCACGGCGCAGTAAACCAGGTCAAATGTCATGTTGTTTTGATTTACCGCCACTCGATCTAGGAGTTAAAATGCCACAATAGCCTTTGGAAGACTGCGGGTCCTAACCTAGACCAAACAACCAACATTTCTAGGCGCAAATTTTTCAATTGTTTGCTCCAGAATCGCTGGGGCACATAAACAAGAAGTGGGCCACGTTTTTGCTTGCATTTCTATGCAGCGTCATGTTCARGTGGATTTTGCAACTCAAAAAAAACCACGCAAATCTAAAACTTCTTGAATTGAAGCATTTTTTGAGAAAACTGCCAACATTTTTCCTCCGAGATATGAGCAAAAACGGGACGGAAAACATGAGATTTTGGTATAATCTTGAACCTAAGTGTTTGATATTCAAATTTCGCTTTCTGGGCCAAACCTATTCGAATTTCCTCTCACGTTGTTACGACTGAATCGAGCTTTCAATTCTCTATCCAACGATGCCAAAACGAATTCTGTGGCTCGAATGGTTCTTGAGAAACTTCGTAGAAAGCAGCGTCATGTTCAGGTGGATTTTGCAACTCAAACAAAATCCACGCAAATCTAAAACTTCTTGAATTCAAGCATTTTTGAGAAAACTGCCAACATTTCCTTATTGATGGTTCACTYTCTAAAAGGGCCATTTATTTCTCTCTAGAATGATGTACAAATGAGCGTTCTTGCTCATTTTGCCTCCGAGAAATGAACAAAAATGGGACGGAAAACATGGAATTTTGGCTTAATCTTGCACCTAAGTGTCTGATATTCAAATTTCGCTTTCTCGGTCAAAACTACTCGAATTTCCTCACTCACGTTGTTACGACTGAATCGCCTTTTCAATTCTCTATCCAACGATGCCAAAACGAATTCTGTGGCTCTAATGATTCTTGAGAAACGTCGAAAAAAGCAGCGTCATGTTCAAGTGGATTTTGCAACTCAAACAAAAACCACTCAAATCTAAAACTTCTTGAATTCAAGCATTTTTTGAGCAAACTGCCAGCATTTCCCCATCCGTGGTTCACTTTCTAAAAAGGCCATTTATTTCTGTCTAGAATGATGTACAAGTGAGCGTTCTTGCTCATTTTGCCTCCGAGAAATGAGCAGAAATGGGACGAAAAACATGGAATTTTGGCATAATCTTGCACCTAAGTGTCTGATATTCAAATTTCGCGTTCTGGGTCAAAACTGCTCGAATTTTAATATTTACTTCTCAGAATTAATTTTTTTGCGGATAAATTTCTTTCGTCTTTTACTTGAGAAAAATCCCTAAATCTAGGCAAAAATTCCCTAGTATGGCATCACTGGTGCTATGACCGACACATCGTTTCAGCAGCACCAAAGTGTTGCAATTTACTGTGGGTTCCCCTGACATTTTACCCAATTTATTGTGCGAACAATATCCAAGTATAAAGTCGATAAAGTCGCCAAGAAGATGATCGTGAACAATTGACCAATAAATCGGGGAAAAGTCGATTTAACATCATCAGATATTGATATCTGTTGTGTTTAAAAAAGTTCGTTTGGTCAGCTTGAATAAGTAGTAGGATCAAACAAATGCTATTCGTTAACCGCAGAAGGTTTTGTTTTAAAGTCATCCTCAGACATGGATTGAAACAATCCAAAATTGGTAACCAAAGCGCGGGACTTTTCATTATTTCTTCGGTGCAAAAATGAGTCAATTTTTGCCTTTTTTTTAGATTTGRTTCCAAGGCGTTTTACGGATCGATTTGGCAGATTTTTTCGAAACCAAMAATCGTCTATGCGTTGAAATTCGCTTTTTTTCTACAAAATCGATCAGTTAATCAGTGTTATTAAACTAGTCACAGGTTTATTGGGCAAGTTTTGAAAAATGTGTAAAATTGGTTGCTTTCGGGAAATTTAATTGAAAAATGGTTTGCTTTTGCCATTTTTTGAAACTGATGATTTATTTTCGCTTCTAAGTCGTCGTGAAAAATAGTTTTTTTTTGGCGTTTTGCTGGCACGAGTGACTTGCATCTTCAGCGGCAAATAATTGAAGAAAAAAAATATAAAATTCCGAAAAAGTCATCAGTTTCCAGTGAAATTCGCTTTTTTCCTACAAAATCGATCAGTTAATCAGTGTTATTAAATTAGTCACAGGTTTATTGGGCAAGTTTTGAAAAATGTGTAAAATTGGTTGCTTTCGGGAGATTTAATTAAAAAATGGTTTGCTTTTGCCATTTTTTGAAACTGATGATTTATTTTCGCTTCTAAGCCGTCGTGAAAAATAGTTTTTTTTGGCGTTTTGCTGGCACGAGTGACTTGCATCTTCAGCGGCAAATAATTGAAGAAAAAAAATCGAAAATTCCGAAAAAGTCATCAGTTTCCAGTGATGGTCGCAGAATCCAAACTTTTTTGGACATTTGGTTTCCAGGCTTTGTTCGTTTTATTTCGATTATGTTTTGGAGCAAGTTTTCTGCCAAAATCAGCGCTGGCTTGAGTTGGATAAGATCAAACATTTATCCCCAATTGACAAAAACTTCAATTTGAGGCAAAATGTTTGCATTTCTTGATCATTTTCTTCACTTTATTGGTTTTACAAAGTCTTCATTTTCTGTTGAATCAATTTAAATAATCTTCCATCGAGTTTGGGGGCTTAGAAAACACTTTTTTGCCTAGAATGCTCTTTTCAGGTAGAGTTTCAGATAAGTTCTAGATTAAGGTTAAGAGACGGATTTATCATTTCAAAACTCGGATGTTTCTTGGGTATTTGACTTCAAAATTTTTGTCTTAAAAATTATTTATCAAAAGTTATTCGTAAAAATTACTTCGGCTGATCTAAAAGAGAAAAATCCATGTACTTGACGTTTCGCAAGCACGAGTGGCCCGCATCTTCAGAGGCAGAAAATTGAAAAAAGAAATTCGAAAATTCCGAAAAAGTCGACAGTTTTGTAAATTTCCTGGTTTTCAAACATTTTGCGTTTCATTTCTATTATGTTTTGATGCTGATTTTGGTAAAAAGCGCGGGTTTCAGATGGATAAGGTCCAGCATTTAGCATTTCTTGAACATTTTCTTCACTTTATTGGTTTCAAAAAGTGTTAATTTTCTGTCGAATCAGTTTAAATAATTTTCTATCGAGTTTGAGGCTTAGAAACTATTTTTTTTGCATAAAACCAAGTAATAATGGCATCGCTAAAAGTTTCGTTTTAAAGGAAAGTTTTAAAATGAATCTACTCTTTTAGATCAGTTCTATATGGATGAGGTGGATTTATGTTGCCTTGAAAAGTGTCTGAATACTTGACGAGGTTTTAAAAATCATTTTCAACCTTCAAAACCTTCTAACTTGCGATTTTCTCCATGAAATCCATCAATGGCAAAAACTTGATTTTGTACTGAACTTTCGGCTGCATTTGAGACTTTGAAGGCTTTTGGATTAAGTTCTTTTCAGTTTTTTGACCGCGATTGAATAAATCGGGAAAAATCTTGTGAAAATCCAGGGTTTTCTTCAGTTGAATCAAGCAACAATTTTATTAGGCGGCATCAGAACCGTCCAGATTTCTGATCTAAGTAAGTGTAGAATTCAGATACGCTTAGAGATATTCTAAAAGGTGCTTGAAATAATCTCATTTCTCTGCAACCTTCTGAATACATGTGCATACAGTTTGCTGGAAAAATCCTTGTCCAAACGCAAAACATGAAAAGTTGCCGAAATCCAGCAATCAAACTTAGTTTTGGAGTAAATTTCCAACTGCAGGACAATCCTTAAGGCTCTGTGTTTCTTCCAAAATCCTGAGTTCTTTCGATTCTATAAAATGTTTATTTATATCGTACTGATTTGGTCGTTTTTCATTTCTTCACTCAACATTCCACTTCATTTGCTTACAAAACGGGCACCTGTTTCACTTCAGGGCCATCATCAGGATCTCAAAATCCATCCATCATCACTTAATTGAATGTGTTTCGTAACGCTATTAAAAAAATTGGATACTTGAAGAGCAGTTAATTGTGTTTTGAGTGCACAAGCGCTCGGCTGAACTTTGAGATTATTGATGCCAATAACCAACCAAGACTTTGTCTCTCGACCCAAAGTAGTTTTCAACGATTCCAAGGCATTTTTCTATTGTCACTCTCTATTCGGACGTGTAAGTCAATATTGGGTTACTTTATCGGAATCACGTAGAAGCGATATGGATTTCAAGTAAATTGACGTGGTTGAAGAGGAGGAATCGGGCAAAAACTGCCTACAAGGACTGAGTTCTTGAGATTTTTGGCCACTGGCGGGGAATTCATTTTCACTCAATTGAGTATAGGCTGAAACGAAAAAACCCCGATCAAACTCTGAGGGCTGATTCAGCAAATTCCCTACTGTCGGCAGGCAGTACATAAAAAACAAACCACTCGGGTTCTCCTACGTAGATCAGACGCGGAATTTAAAGAACGCCTAGATATAAATAGGGACATTTCAGCATTTTCCCAAAGCTGCTTGTTATCGGAATTGCTGGCGATGCGCAATTGAACATTGTTGGCATCAACAGATCAAACATGAGCGTTTAATTATAGAAAGTTCCGATTTCGATCAACAACATTGACGTACTGGGTTAAAAAAAATGCATTCCAGGCGAGCACAAGCAAGCGGATCTTCCGCAATCATGGATCGATATGCAGGCGCCTTGCATGAAGGCTGTGAGAAGCCACGTGGCCGAAGAACTGAAGGCTGGCCTTCAATATATGGCCATGGGGGCGCACTTTTCCAAGGACCTGGTCAACAGGCCTGGATTTGCCAGTCTCTTCTTCAAGGCTGCCAGCGAAGAACGCGAACATGCCATCAAGCTGATTGAGTATCTGCTGATGAGAGGACAGCTCATTTCAGGCGTCACCGATATGATTCCCTATAAAGTAAGTTTGGTCGCGTTCCTCCTCCTCCTCCTCAACGAATCGCTGATGGATTTCAGGACCTGACTTTCAACCTCACCTCCACCTTTACGAATGGGGCTTCCGCCCTAAGGGCGGCCCTGAACCTGGAGGCTTCAGTCACTGGCAGAATCCGCAACTTGATCCAAGTCTGCGAAGGCGATCCCAACTTCAACGACTACCATGTAGGTTGACTTAACGCCGCTTTTATGAAGGATCTACAAGAGTTTTTCTTTGGCAGTTGGTGGATTATTTGACTGGCGATTTCCTGACTGAACAGTACCAAGGGCAGCGCGACCTGGCCGGGAAACTGTCCAGCTTGGAGAAGATGATGGACAAGCACGGCGTGCTTGGAGAGTTCCTCTTCGACAAGAAGCTGGCCTAGATTAACCTCCCCACCCCCGTTAGCTTCCTAGAAGCTCTATTTACGCGTGATGATTATTTTGTATAAATTTTAAATAAATCAGTTATACGTTGAGGCCTCTTGTCATTTCCCCAAGCCTCTGTATGCTGGGCACCAACCCGCATCTCCCAGGTGTTGGTGACTTTTGCGATTTGCAGTCCAAACACGTCAAAATTCCCAGTTATCCCAAAATGGGCGATTGTGGCTGCGCCCCCCGACCCCAGTCCCGCTCTGGGAGACGCCCTCCTTTTCCCCAGATGGGCGGGAGTGGCATGCAGCGCATGCCCATGCAGTATGAGAGAAGGCCACCACAGGCCAGGTCCAGTAGCCCCCCCACAATGCCCCGCACTGGCCCCCCAATGATCAGAAAGGGGCGCTGCCCCTCCCCAGAACTACTAGGGCGAAGTCGCAACCTGAAGGCCACCACAAGGTCGCCAGACTTTGCCAAACTGGGCGCCACCATGGAGGAGCTGAGCAAGCTGGAGTTTGTGGAGATGCAAAACATTGAGGAGGACTTGAGGGACTTTCAGCTGAAGCGCCGCAAGCTGGTGTTCAATATTGCGTCCATCAACCTATCGAAGGCGAAGAAGTCGATCAAAAAAGCCGTGAGCAAAATGGGGCTGTGAACTTTCTTTGGGCGCAAATAAAAGTAGTCAAAAACTCTAGCGTTTGAATGACATCATAGCTGTACCTTGAAGCGGCCTTTTTCTACCAAACTCCCGATCCTTAACACTAAATCATGTCTAAAATCAGTCGAACAATAAGAGCATTATTTATGTTTTCTACACGAGAACCGCAGGGTTCAACAGCGCTCTTGTAATTGAACCATTTATTAGATCTGAAAAAATCAACATGTTCAGGTCCTTGACGGATTTTTTGCCGGCTGCATTGAATAATAAATTGTGCGATTTGCATACAGGGGCGTGGCTACATGTTTGTAAACTCGGCACTGTAAACAGGGTGGAGAAAATTCGCGTTTCGAGCCTATTTGATATGGAAATGTGGCCTTTCTTATGGAACCGGCAAAGGCTATGGATCAAAATTCCATTGGAAGTTAATCGCGTGGGCCCTAGACATGGAAGCCATGGTGAAAAAGAGGTTTGTTCTGACGTTTTGATAGTGCGAGTAACTTGCATCTTCAGACGTGATTTGGGTTAGTTCGCTGTAAGCCTACAAAGGGAATATTCAACGGTTTATTCCGACTTGAGGATGATGTTTTTATCACAACGTTTCGGTTACTAGTATCCCCAGCCACTCTAAAACCTTCTTCAAGGTCAATTCCACAGGATGGGCCAATTTTAAGTTGCAGACTTCTTTGCAGTGGAAGTTAGGAATTTGCTCATTTTTGGTCCTGCATTTACGGGGTTGCCAAAAATCACAGTCCTGGACGATTCGAGCAAAATTTTCAGGATTCTTTGCCCCAAGCACCTCCTACATTGTGAGCAAGTTTCAAGTTGTTGCGCCCTTTGGACTAGAAGATCGCAATTTTTTTAAAAGAGCGCATAACTGGGGAAACGTACCTATTAATTTTTTATTCTGCATTTACATGATTGGAAAATCAGGAGTTTGCTCGAATCTCTTAATATCTTACGGGTTTTCAGTTTCACGTATGTTCTACAAGATCAGAACGTTTAAAGTTGCTGGAATGGCGATTTTGAGGAAGAAGTTACGAATTTTTTAAAAAGATCAATTGTGAAAATGTGTTCATCTTTAGTCCTGCAGTGACAGGGTTGGAAAAAATCTGGACTTTGCACTATTTGAATGACAATTTCAGGAGTTGCAACTTCACGGGATTTTTACCGGGTGAGCAAATTTCAAGTTGCTACCGGTTTTGGAATGGAAGTAGCGAATTTTTAAAGATGAGCGCGCAATTGAGGAAACGTGTTGATTTTTGGTCCTGCAGTGACAGGATTCGAAAAAATTGGTGCATTGCATGATTCGAGTGAAATTTTCACCAGTTGCAGCTGTAAGTGTCCTCTATAGGTTGAGCGAACTTCAAGTTGCTACCGACTTTGGAATAAAAGTTCGGAATTTTTAAAAAGAGCGCGCTATCGGGGAAAGCGTTTCATTTTTGGCCCTGCGTTTATGCGGTTGGCAAAAATCAGATCTTTTTACGATTTCAGTCATAATTTTACAATGTTTTGCTCCAAGTGTCTTTTACCGGATGAGCAAATTTCAAGTTACTACCGGCTATGGATTGGAAGTTTAGAATTTTTGCAAAAGAGTGCACAATTTGGAAAAAAATCACTTTCGGCCCTGCATTGCTGAGGCTGGAAAAAATCAGGGCTTTATGCGATTTAAGTCATATTTGCAGGTTGTTGAGCTCAACGGGTGTTCTATAAGGCGAGCGACTTTCAAGTTGCGGAGGACTTTGGCCTGGAAGTTCAGAATTTTTGAAGGAGGGCGCGCAATTGGAGTAACCTCCTTTTATGGCCCTGCGTTGATGAGCCAGGCAAAAATTTGAGTTTTGTAAGATCCAAATCAACATTCTCAGGGGTTTTAGCTACAAATGTGTTCTACAAGTTGAGCGAATTTGAAATTGCTATCTATTTTCGCATGAAAGTTCGTAATTTTACTAATTGAGCGCGCAATTGAGAAGATAAGTTCATTTTTGGTCCTAAACTTACGGGGTTGCGAAAAATGGTGCCTTTGCACGATTTAAGTAAGGATTTCAAGGTTTTTTGCGCCAATTGTGTTCTACAGGGTGAGCAACTTTCAAGTTGCTAGCGCGTCTGGAGTGGAAGTTGGGAATTTTTATAAAAGAGAGCGCACTTGAGGAAACATGTCCAGTTTTGGCCCTGCATTTATGAGGCTGACGAAAGTCCGGGCTTTGCAAGGTTTTATTGATATTGTCAGGATTTTAAGTCGCAGGTATCTCCTACAAGGTGAACAAATCTAAAGTTGCCAGCAAATTTGGACTGCAAGTAATGAATTTTTCAAGAGCAGCGCGCAATTTTAAATTTATGTAAATGTAAATCTGTATAAGCTTGGCCCTGCAGTTACAGAATTGTAACAAATGAAAGCTTTGCACAATTTCAGCGATAATTTCTCGATTTTTAACTCAAAATGTCTTCTACAGAGCGAGCAAATTTCAAATTGCTAGATACTTTGGAGTACAAGTTACGTTTTTTTGAAAATTGAGGAAGAAAAAGGGAAATTGAGCAAATTTCTGGTTGCTCCAAGGTGGAAAAAATATTTTCCGCGACGGTAAAACTCATGAGTTTTAAACTGGAAGTTTCTCCGTTCACTCTGTATTGAAGGAAATGATCAGTTTGCATGAACTGTTCTTTCCCATATCGGTTACGTCAGCGAATGCGATTATCTATGCAGAAAAATGAACAACAAAGTGTTCGAGTAACCTTGGCAAGGTCGTAAGGCGTTTAGCAATTTTCAGCAGAAAACCACCTGGGAACCAACTGGGTTCGACCATAATTTGCTTAAAACGCGTGGGTTGATCAGAGAGAAACGCCACAAATCCATATTTTCTCACACTATCTATCGGCTCTTGAGCTCTGACTAAATCTCCCGAAGAGATTTTCACCCGGAAATTCCACATGCAAAGTTATGTGGTCATTGCTTGAACTTCGACGAAGAATTAAATGGTGCGAGATGGTATGCACTTTGGGCCTGCAATGAATTCATAATGCTGCCAGCCATTCATCATGCCGTTTTCATAATATGCACCACGACAGAACGTTTTTATTTATGAAGGTGTCCGGCTCAGTTGGAAAAATGACTGCAACAGGATTACGTGCACGTGATCGCACTGGAAAAGTGAGTAAGTTGGGAGGCTGAAATTTGAGATTTGAGAATTTTATGACCGCAATATTGCTCAAGACAATTCGATCACAATCAGCCCCGACAAATGATCGAACCGTTCGATAGCAATGATCGTTGTACGGCTCCGCCTTATTTTATTGTATCTTGTCAACAAAGCAGAAAACAATTATTTATTGCACAATCATTTCAACAGTTTCGTTTGGTGAAATGTCAAATATTGCAGCATATGAAGAACTGAAAATCCATCAGAAGGAATCTAAGTTTAAAGTCGAATTTCCCTTTGCACAGCAAATTATTCCAGTCCACACCCAGGAACCTACAGATTTAGAATCCGCATCCAGGAAATTAGTGAGGAAAAGGCAACATCGGGCGCAATTTTGTCCTAACTTTCAGTCATTTCTCAAAGACGAGAACATGCCCAGAAATTGATCCATTTAAAGCAGAAATTTGCGAATTTTTAGTCCTCGCCCCAGTCAAAACAATCAGTTTCAAGCATGGAAAATGCCAGAAAAGTGGCTGAATTTGCTTATGCGATTTAGTGAGGGCAAAAGTCCAACTTTAATTAAAGCGCAATCAAACGACTTTGGGAATTTACCCACTAAATTTAACACAACAGTTGAAGCAAAAACATTTTGCGCCAAACGTGAAAAAGTCCATTTCTCTCACTTAAAACATCGGGAATGAAATTGAGTTCGGATATAGTGAGGACCAAACACTTGAGATATTAACGTTTGTACAAAAGCTTCATTTTCCGCTTTCAGTTCAGGAAATGTGCAATTGATCGGTTTTAAGCAGGAATTTCGTGAATTTTGACTTGAATTTCAACATGAGAAAGGCCAGATTTCGCATTTTAAACGTTTGTTTTTTTGGGAATTAGTGAGGGACAAAATAATCGCCAACAAAATATAATGTTAAGTGAAAAAACTGTGAAAATTTCAACTGGAAAGGACCGAATAGAATTGGAATTTAGTGAGGATAATAGTCTCAAAAAAATTGCGCTTTTATGAGTTTGACTCCCTATGCGGAATTAGTGAAAATATTGCTTAATTGCCTTCGAGCCACTTACTAAATCTACAACTTTTCGTTTTAAGCAAACGCAGGAACAATTTTCATTTGTAAAAAATTGAGAAATCGAGTTTAGTGAGGAGGATAAATTCAGGTCAATTGCGATTTGGCAAGTTTCATTTAACATGTTTTGCTTAATATTTTGATCTCATCAAATTGATCGATTTGGGGCAGAAATACGCCACTTTACCAATTTCAAGCGACTGAATGAACCAATCTGAATTAGTA